GGGGGGGGGGGGGGGGGGGGGAGGGATTATATGAGTTTGTTTCATGACTTGTTAAATGCTTCATTCTTTTCCCTTGTATGTTTTTCAGGATGAATACTCTGTTTCTAATGGAAACAAAGATATGCTTACTTTTGATGGCATGCCAGACATGGACGTTGAAAGAAGACTGAAGGTACTGACAAAGATTGATCATTGATTGAGATAATTAGTAAACTTTCAGTAAGCATATATCAGGGAACTGATTAGGTCAAGGAAAGTGAATGTAATAATACCTTGCATAACATCCTTATTAGTACTTCAATTTTCAAGGTACTTCGATACATTTCCATTCAGCAATCACTAGTCATTGTGCCGCTATATTCCTCCAATTTTAGGTCTTGCTCTCTTATCATCCACATACATATCTGAAAAGTATTGCTCTTCCATCTTCCCTAGGACGCATTTTTGGCTTCTTCAACTATCAACAGTGCAGATCCACGAGTGTCTTCTCTTCAATACACAATGCCTTCTGCTTCTGGCGCTGTTCCACCTCCTCCAAAACAGGTGTCTCTGCCATATTTTCCAGACATGCAGCTTCCCCATGTCAACTCGGTGGCCCCCACTGAACCAAGTATACAATGCTCTCCAGCTAGAGAGGAGGGTGAAGTACCAGAATCCGAACTAGATCCTGATACAAGGCGGAGGCTCCTTATATTGCAACATGGGCAAGATATAAGAGAGCGCCCACCTAGTGAACCTGCATTTTCAGTGCGGCCCCCTCCATTACAGCAGGTTGCTGGTCCACGTGGACAATCACGTGGAAGTTGGTCTCCAATGGAAGAAGAAATGAGCCCAAGGCAACTAAATCGGCCTGCACGCAAAGAGTTCCCTGTAGATGCAGAACCGATGCGGGAGAAGCATAGGTCCAATCATTCTTCATTTTTCCCCAAGATTGATGGTTCCATTCCACCTGATAGAATTCCTCATGAAAATCAGAGATTGTCAAAAGAAGTAATTAGATTATGATTTTGTTTATGTTCTATCCATGGAGCTCTCCCTTTTTGGCTCCCCTTTTTCAGGGAGGAAAGCTACGGTACTATTTTTCAGTGCCCTTTTTTCTTTTTGATCTGTGCAGGCTTTTTATAGAGATGATCGTGCAAGATTAAGTCGTAGGCCATCTAATTATCCTGCTTTCTCAGGTGAGCCATGTTTGACACGCTTGTTTGTATTTTCTGAATCTTATGGGTTTCAAAAAAAATTTGGCTTGTATTTTCTGAATCTTAAGTTGCTCAGAATTTATCACCAGTTTTCTTGTCTGTTACTACTTGGGGGTCACTCTTTCAATTTCACTTTGATTAACATCAAAGAGAGTCAAACCCTTCATCTCATATTAAGGTTCCAAGGAGGAATCAATGGACCATTCGTCCTTCTCTGATGTATCTAAATAAATTGTGGGTGTTACTTTCAGGCCATTTTCTCTTTGGTAATATTTATTTAGGGTTTTTCTAGCTAGCATTTTGTTAGTAATTATCATTTTAGTTTTTTTGGATAAGATAATCATTGTATTTCATTGAGGTTATGTTACACTCTGTAATAGTTTTTATTATTATTATTTTTTTTTCAAGGTGAGGAGGTTCTGATGAATCAATCATCTTCAAGAAGTCGAGATAATGACATTGAATCTGGATGCTCCATCTGGAGTGAAACTCCTGTTGGAGCTCTACAGGAAATTGCAATGAAGTTTGGCACCAAGGTAATCTGAGACACAGTTTTCCATGATACGAGATTGAGGTTCTTAAGTTTTGCATTTGTTGCACCCTTCTCCATCCAATCCTTAAGAGTTGAAAAAACTTGTAGGTGGAATTTAAGTCGGCGTTGGTTTCCAGTGCAGATCTACAGTTTTCTGTCGAGGTATTTTATGACTCTTTCCTCCACTTTTTCTTTGGTTTATAAATCTTGTGGGGCAAATTCAATTATACCCTATACTTGGGCTTCTATCGATAAAGCTTTAAACTAATCATTGTATCAATCAAAAACTTGAACTTTCACAAGTGTATCAATTCACACTGAGTTCACACGGGTGGGAATTTATAGTTCTGTGAATTAAAGTCATAAACTATCCTAAGTGAATTAATTTAGACCCTCAATTTGAAAATCGTCCATTAATCAAGTCTAGACCTCTTATTTAAAAATTATCCACTATTTAAAACAAATAATCTAAATTGGTTCACTTATAAAAGTTGAGGGGTTTAATTGATTTTATTTTAAGTTTGCACACATATAAACTAATGTTTTTCATATGGAATCTAACTGATGGTGTAAATTGATGTACTTACGAAAGTTTGAGGTTTTAATTGATACCATTATTCGTTTGGGGTTTTCATTGATAGAGCTCCCAAAATTTAGACGTATAAGTTGATTTGTGAACCTATGGTTGTGTCTGTGCTTACATAGAGGGAAAACGAGCAGATTTCACATTCTTTATTTTTAAGTGCTGCTTGTATCCACTTTGTTCTGATTATAGAGCATGGGAACTTGTTCTTTGCTTTTATAGGCGTGGTTTGTGGGTGAGAAAATTGGAGAAGGAATTGGTAAAACAAGAAGGGAAGCTCAGCGACATGCTGCTGAAGGTTCTATAAAGAATTTGGCCAGTATGGAATCGACATTCTTTCTTTCTTTATTTTTTATTTTTTCTTTACTGTTATGCGTTTATAATATTTATGTTTTGCTATAGTTTTTATGTTATACCCTATTTTGCTTGTTGAAATCTAGCCTGTTTTTTAGTGCTTTCTGCTGTATTTAGGCATTAGGAATACTAACTGATATTAGAACTAAAAATGCCTAGTAAGAAATGGCTGGTTATTATGCAAATGGTTAACTGCTTAAACTAGCAAAATTTAAAGAGCATGAATATGAAAATGAGAACTTCTAAAGTGAATCTGGCTAACTTGTGATATGTTTTGCAGACATTTACGTATCGCGTTGTAAGGCTGACTCTACATCTGCAAATGATATAAACAAGTTTCCCAGTGATAACGGATCGGGAAAACGAATGAAGCTGGACTTCCACGGCCATCTTCCAAAAACTAAATAAATATTCTATGAACTCCATATTTGTTGATGACCCCTCTTGAAAAACCATGTTTCGGCATATTTGAGGTTAAGAGCATCAAGACTCCTCAGTATGTTGGTCTACTACTTGCTTGGCCTTCTGCTGCTAGTTTCGTTCCAGAGGCAAATTGCAAGATCAACCTATTCCTCTTCATTCAATTTCTTCTGATATCAGCAACGCTATCTCCACGTGACATGACTGTGTTCCCTGTGAAGTGTTCATACTGAGGATCGTGCTGCTGCTGAATCTCCATTAACCTGCATCTGGGTCATCTCGAGATAATGAGATGAGCATTAGTTGAATCTTTTCTCCCATTAAGTTGAAGCCCTTGCTCTTAAAAGGTGGCAAAAGGCTGCTGCTTTGGCGACTTATTCACTCCAACATGTTTGGGAGATCATATTGGCGGATCAAATTTCTATTTTTTTATTTTTGATGTGTCAATATCTATTCTATTCAGGAATGTTTTCTTGATCTGCGAACTCATATTACTCACATTAGTAAACTAACCCTTAAATGTTCCACATCTAAATATAACCACGCACCCCGCCCCCATTGATGTCATTCGAGCTCGAGAACAATGTAGTCGGTGATAGAGTTGTAAAGTGAGTTCTTTGAATACTATTTCTCCCTGGTTGTTTGACATGTCAACAGATACAAATCTTAATCTTCTAATTCCATTTGAACGATACTGAATTCACATGTTGTTGTTGTTTTCGTTCGTATCCAGATCGTAAGACTCTTATAATTGGTCTTCCTAAGTTTGTTTGATTCTGTTACAGACAGGGATTTGCCTTGAATTGGAAGACCAATTGAAAGAACAATATGATAAACTTACACAAGGAAATATAATTTTGATAAATAAATAAATTTTAGTTATAGTGATTACAAACTCGTGTGCAGTCAAAATTTGAATATTATTGTAAATTGTTTTTTTTTTTTTTTTTTTTTTTTTTTTTTTTTTTTTTTTTTTT